GAAAACCCTGAAAATTATATTTATCAAATTTCATATAAAATTAGTCATGCTCTTTTTATGTGTGATTTGTTAGAATATAATTGATTGGTAGATTTGTTTTGCGGGTTGATTCTTTACTACAGTATTGTCGATTAGATATATTGTTGCTCTCGGATAGCTCGTAAGGATAGATCAGTTTGTTTTTCATTGAAATTAATATTTCTCAGAATAAATACATTAGTTATTATTATTGGTTTTCAAAGTTGGATCTTCCGATTGTTTGTTTGGGATGTGAAACATGCAATTGAGTAATAAATAGGAATCAAAATTTATAACAGTTAAACAAATCAATTAAGTGAATCCTGAAGTTTTGTTCATCATAATATTGTTTTTAATATTTTACAATTATCATCTTTTATTTAAATATTTTTATTCTTAATTTTAGAATTCATCTTTTAATTTAATTTCTCATTGTGACAACTCTTTTTGTTAATTTAATATAGCTTCCCTGTGGATTCGACACCTAAAGCTACGCTACAACAACCGCTTAGCCAAAAGGTATTAATTTTGAGGCGAGACATCAAACATAATCTCCTCCACACATCATCACAATTTCCATATTCCATCCTGAACTCAATCAATTTTGTTAAGACATGAACACAATAATTCAAATTATATTTACACTTATTGTAAATATTTAATATTTTAGAATATTCTTTTTGTAAACATCTATATATAAGTCATTGTACATACAGTATTATTCAAAAAAGTAATAAACATTTTTTCAAATATTTCTTCTTTTTCTAACATGGTATCAGAATTATAAGCTCATGGTTCTTCTCCTTTATCATCACTACTTGGTTTTTGGGTTGGATTTTTAGATCCATTTCGAATCTAAAACTTTATCGCTGGGTTCTTTTCTCTTTTAGATTGGATTATTTAGTCTCAATTTTCAAGCTCTTTTTGAGGTATTTTGCTGAGTTGTTATTTCAATCTTGGCATCTATTTTTTCATATTTTAAAGATTTTTTCAGTATTGTGGGTTTTACTGATTCTATGACGAGTTTTAAAAGGATTGTAACTCATCCTATTACTGCTATGGTTGCAAAGAAGTGATAGGCCAACCTAATGCCAACCTTGAATCCTTAAAACAGGTGATACTAAATCTTTTTAATACTCCTATTACCTTATCTGCTACTTTAAGTACCAAACTTTGGTATTTTGATTTTGGTTGTTGTGACTATATGTCTTCAACTACTGCTTATTTCTTTTCAATGTCATCAAACAATTCCTTTCCTAATATTTATTTTACTGATGGTCCCCTTATGAATGTTAGTCATATTGGCAATATTTTTACAAAATTCTTTGACTTCTTGGTTCTAAAACTTAGTTATAATCTTTTATCTGTTGGTCAATATGTGATCTTAGTCTTGAAGTAACAGTTTCTACTCATGATTGTCGTGTGCAAGACCCATAGACATGACAACTTCTTGGAATTGGTCACAAGGTGGGGCGTATGTTTGAGCTCAGCTATTTGCATATTCCTAATCATAAGATGGATACACCATCATTTCCAAAAAATCGATTCATCCAAACCCTGCTTTGTGTTGTTGAATTAGAGTTTTTGTAATTTCCATATCAATAAATCTTCCAAGCCTGCACTGCTACTAACATTTATCCTCTTCACTTGTGGCACTTATGGCTCAGACACACCTCAATTGGTAAACTTCATCTTTTTCTCTCGTGGTTTATTAGGATGTGTTTTAAATGAATCCTTATATTGTATATCATGTTAATCTGCAAAACAACCATCTTTATTTTTTTCTAATAGTCATTCTCTTTTTTTGATCTCGTGCATTTTAATGTTTGGGGTCTATCTCTAACACCTACCATGAGGGGTTCTAGGTATTTTGTGTTATTTATTAATGATCATACTCATTTTACCTGAATATATCTTATGAAAAATCACTCTAAGTTACCACAACTTTATATTGATTTTGCTATCATAGTCAAAACCTAGTTCTCTAAAACTATCAAAGTTTTGAGAACTAACAATACCATTGAATATTTTAGTACTAAACTTCAATTCCTTTTCAAAGAACAAGGCACACTGACATAACAATCTTGTTCTTACACTTTAGAACAAAATGGGCGAGTCGAATGCAAACACAAATACATTCTTGATTTTGTTCATGCTTTGCTCATTTCGTCTTCTTGTCTAGAGCGATTTTGGGGTGAAGCTGCTCTTACAATTGTTTATCTCATTAATTGGATTCCATCATTAGTCCTCAATAATAAGTCTCCATATGAATGTTTGCATGGTATTCCTCCTACCTATGATCTTCTTAAGGTTTTTGGTTGTGCTTGTTTGGTTCTTCTTCCATCTTAGGAACATAACAAGCTAGAACCTAAACCTCAATTATGTTGTTTTTTAAGTTATGGGATTACACATAAAGGATATCATTGTTAGAATTTTGTGTCACAAAAACTTCAAGTCTCATGTTATGTTGTCTTTTGGGAACACACTATGTTTTCCTCGTTATCAAACTTCCAAGTGTCATCTATTGATCAACCTCCACTTTTTACTAACCTTTCTATTGAGTTATTTCTTAGTGACTCTGATGCAGATACATTTGATGAGCTTCATGATGCCTTTCTACATGCTTCACCTGATTCTATAAAAGATGTTCTGTCTGTTGGTAATGCATTAGACAATGTTGAGTCTTTTTCCCTTACCTCTTATGTATCACTTGTTAGATCTAACACTGTTGATATTAGACTTTAAAATGAGATCCTTAATCCACCTTCAAGTTGTCCTACTCGGGTAAGAAATCCTCTTAGCCATCGTCATGATTATCATTGTTTTCTTGCTATTGCCTCCTTACATGAGCCTCAATCCTATCAAGAGGCCTCTTTTAACCCTTTTTGGCAACAAGCTATGCAAGATGAATTATAAGCTTTTGAGAAAACTCGTACATAGGATTTAGTTTTAATCTTTTTGTTGGAAAGCCTCTAATAGGTTGTAAATGGATGTACAAGATCAAAACTTGGTCTGATGGTTCTATGGAGCATTACAAGGCTCGTTTGGTTGCTAAAGGATTTACTCAAGAATATCAAATTGATTATGAGGAAACCTTTGCACCTATTGCTCATCCTAGTTTAGCTCATAGTTCGATTACTATTGTTATTGCTACTACAAAAGGATCAAAATTGTTTCAAATGGATGGAAAAATGCCTTTCTAAATGGTGATCTTGTAGAGGAAGTTTACGTGAAATCACCTTCTGGACTTAAGCATCCTCCAAACAAAGTTTGCCGATGGAAGCGAGATTTGTATGGTTTGAAGCAAGCACCTCAAGCTTGGTTTGCCAAGTTTAGTACCACCATAAGTGAATTTGGTTTTACTTCTAGTCCTCATGATACTACGCTATTCATACGCAAGATTAATCATGGTATGATTTTACTATTTCTTTATGTTGATGATATAATCATTATTGGGGATGATATTTTATGCATTCATGATCTCAAGCAATTTCTCAGTTATAAGTTTGAGATTAAAGATCTTGATGTTTTGAGCTATTTCTTGGGATTTGAGGTCAACTTTTCTTATGATGGTTATCTTCTCTCTCAAACAAAATATGCTTCTGATCTTATATCTAAAGCTGGACTTGTTGATAGTAAAACTGCATCTACTCCTCTTGAGCCAAATGTTTTACTTACACTCATGGATGGTTCTCCATTAGCTGATCTTACTCATTACAAATAGTTGGTTGGAAGTTTAATTTATCTCACTACAACATGACCAGGCTACAACATGACCAGGCATAGCTTATGCAATTCATGTTGTTAGCCAATTTATGGCTACACCTCGTTCCACTCACTATGTAGTAGTACTTTGCATTATTCACTATATTAAAGCTACTATTTTTCATGAACTTCACTTTTTGCCCGTTCATCCCTTGAACTTTGTGTTTACTCTAACGCTAATTGGGCTGGAGGCTCTAATGATCGTAAATCCTCCACTGCATATTCTCTTTTTCTTGGTGATTCCTTAATCTCTTTGCGTAACAAGAAGCATACAGTTCCATCACGTTCTAGCACACAGGCCAAATACCAAGCACTTGGAGACACTACATCAGAGTTAATTTACATTGGCTACTAGAAGACATGGGTATTCCTTAACTGCTTGTTACTAATCTTTATTTTGACAATCAAAGTACCATGTAGATTGCTTATAATGATGTCTTCCATGAATGCACTAAACACATTGAGGTTGATTGTCACTTTGTTTGCCATCATGTTGCACAAGGAACTATTCATTTGGTTTTCATTGGCTCCGCTAATCAACCAGTAAACCTTTTCACCAAGACTCATTTTCCTAGATGCTTTTGTACTCTTTTTTTTAAACTCAAGTTGATTTCATCACAACCACCTTGAGTTTGAGGGAGAATGTTAAGATATGAACACAATAATTCAGATTATATTCACAATTATTTTAAATATTTTATACCTTAAAATATTCTCTTTATATACTTTATACCTTAGAATATTTTCTTTGTATAATATTATTCAAGAAAACAATAAACCTTTCTTCTTCTTCAAATATTTCTTCTTTTTCTAACAAAGCTGTAGAAATATTCTCGACGATATTGGGATGCCATATTAAATGGAATTTCATCACAAACTCCTTTGAAAGCAACATGCCTCCTACATTGTGTGGTAAGAATTCACTCAAACTAAGCTACATTCTCTCCTCTTTTTTTTCTGAAATTAAGACTACCATGAAAAAATAAGATACAATAAAGAACAATTAATCCAACACTACATTGGAATTCTTCACTCCAAAATGGCTCTCATCACAAACTAGGTTGCACATTTGGAAAGGCTCTTTTACCACCTATCTTTATTATTGACATTTTTCAACTGCAAACCATCAACATCTTCCTACGGGCCAAAATCCTTGTGTCAACATTTTCCAGCCCAATCCTTGATATCAAGGATTGTAAACTGCAGATATACTCTCCAAAATCTTGTGATACTAAACTAAATAGACTTGCAATTCTTACCTAGACCAAGAAAAAAAAATTAAAAAAAATCTTAAAAAGCCACATTTCTCTTTTGAGTCTTCTATTCATCAAAGTTCCACCAGCTGACAAAACATGGCAAAATCCTTTGAAACCTCCATCTTTTCCACTTTGTGTAAAAATATTTGCTCAAACCACGGTACATTCTTTGCCTTCCTCTTGAACAAAGTTAACTACAAATAGATAAGATACAACAAAGAACAGTAGATCATACAGTAAAACACCTGTAATCACTGACGCCCAATCGTGATGGAACTTAAACCCAGATGCCCTCAAAACACGTGTACAGGATTCCAGAATTTCATCCTGCACGCCTATATCCAGCAATCGCAACCCAGCCGTCGCCATCAACCTTATTTCTGTCTCTGCCCATCGCTTTTTTGGCACAGTACCCTTCCCGAATTCTAGAAGCCCCATAATGGCCAGCCCTGCCGACTCCGGATCACTCGCGTACACTGACAATCCCGGAATAACCCTCATACTCGTTAACCCACCTTCCAGGAAACCAAACACCGCTCTCCCTCCCTCAACCCTGTATCTAAAAACATGAATCCTGGTCCCTGTATTCC